GTCATGATGCATGATTGTAACTGGTTCACAAGATGGGTGACCGAGTTTCTCATAAGTAAGCCTCGTAGGTAACTTTCGATTTGTCTGGGATTTCTGAACTGTAGAAGACCGTTCCATTGCACTTCCAGGGCTTCTTAAACGTCTTTTATAACCCTCTCCATTTAAGTGACTTGAGCTTGCTCCTTCATCCGAATTGGGCGAATCCTCTTCACCCGATTCAGTATTTATCAATTGACCGTCCGAGCATGCCGGGGGAGGTGCAACATGTTCAAACAACTCCTCATCCTCTGTTTCAGTAAGGATTTGATTTTTCAAAACATCACAGCTTTCCTCTTCCAATTTTTCATCCTCGCTAGGGTGTATACTCTCATCAGAAATCTGACCGCCTTCACTCTCTTCACAGGGATTCCAGTCCATTTGTATCTGCACCTCATCCATATCCCTCTGTGGAGGATGGTAGACTCCGACAAACTCTGGACCTGATGATTCAGCGTCACTTTCTTCAGATTTGTATGGTTGACATTTCCGGGTGTGCTTGGTCCTTGTTACAGCTTTTAAAACAGAGTTTGAATCAGTTGGCTGATTAGACATCCTGACCATGTACCCGATGTGTAGCTGGAGATCTCGATGTAGTGTTTTCAACACACCGGTAGAACGCTCTGGTCTGACCTTATAAACAGGCAGATTAGGCAACTTCTCAACAACAACATAGGGTATCGACTTCCATCAATCTTGGAGTTTATGTTGAGCTTTCAAACCGAGATTTCAAATGAGAACTCTGTCTCCTTTTTCCATAGGAAAATGTCTCAAACGGCAGTCATATCGGGCTTTGTTTTTCAGATGGCTTTTAGTGGCAGCATCAGTTGTCAACTGGTAGGCTTTTTGCAACTCTTTCTTCATCTTGTCAACATACTGTTGGTAGGAAGTCTCACTGTCGCCATTTGGTGAGATTCCAAAGCAGATGTCAATGGGTAATCTTGCTTCCCAGCCAAAAATAAGACGATAGGGGGAGTAGCCCGTGGAGTTGTTCTTTGTGCAATTATATGCATGTACCAGGTAAGAAATATGCTGACTCCAACATTGCTTCTTCACAGTTTCCAGAGTACCGAGCATTGCTAAAAGTGTCTGATTGAATCTTTCTGGTTGAGTGTCTCCCTGAGGGTGGTGGGGGAGGTTCTTGACTTCCACACTCCAAGCATAGTCAAAAGTTCTTTTATCAGAAAACTTTCAAAATCTCGACCCTGGTCTGAATGGATCCTGGCAGGTAGTCCATAATGCATGAAAAATGTCTCCCACAATACTCTGGCAATGGTAATAGCTCGTTGATCTTTTGTAACAAACTCTTGTGCATACCGCGCGAAATGGTCCGTCACTACCAACACGTTGGCAACACCCTTGGAGTCTGGCTCTATCTGCAAAAAGTCAATGCACACTAATTATAAAGGGCCATTACTTGTTATCTGATTCAAGGGCGAGGCACGCTGAGGGAGTGTTTTCCTGGAAATACACCTTCCACAGGTTTTAATGTACTGCTCGACCTCAGCCGTCATTCGCGGCCAATAAAATCGGTCTTTGATCAGTTCGGTAGTGCGTTACACTCCCATGTGTCCGCACTCGTCGTGTAGGGACCTTAACACCATTGGGTGGTATCTTGCAGGTAGGACAAGTTGGTTGACTTGTTTCCCACACATCCTCTCCTTTATCTTGTAAAGTAGTCCATCCAATAACTCCAGTTTGCGACTTTCTCGTAGGAGCAACACAGTCTCAGGCGAGTCATTCTTGCAGTGGGTAAACTCTTTTCCTGTCTCAATCGCTTTCTTGATGGGGCCTATTGTTTGGTCCCTATCTTGTGCTGCTTGAATATCTTTTGGACTTAACTGGTCAAGAGTTGTCATGCTAAGGTTAACTGGGAACACATAAGCTTCAGGTATCACGGTGGCAGGAGCTCCCAAATGGTCCACAAATCTATCAGGCCCAATGACCTCTTCACCGACGCATGCTTGTTTGCAGAGGGCTTTAATGCCAGCCGGTGGAAAACTAGTCCACTCCTTGGTCTTCTCTTCCGAGTACTGTCGGGACAACAAATCCGCATCAATATTGTGTTTGCCAGGTCGGTATTGAATTGTAAAATCATAGGTGGCGAGGGCGGCAAGCCAACAATGTCCGACTGCACTGAGCTTGGCTGAGGTCAACACATAGGTTAATGGGTTATTGTCGGTCCAGACTATGAATTTAGTTCCATACAAATAGCCATGGAACTTGTCGATGACAGCCCATTTCAATGCCAAAAATTCCAGTTGATGAACTGGATACCGTAAATCCTCTAATACAGGCCCGGGCCTGTATTTGACTCAAGCTCATCAAGCTCCAGGCCTTTATTGGAAGGAGGGCCAGTATTAGAGGCAGACCTCTATTTCTATTTGAGCTAAATGAACTAATGGTTCGCTGGAGTTTTTGACAATTAATATTGTGCCCACATTTTCAAAGTTAAACACATTTCTTTAACAACAGTAGTTTCTGCTTCAGCCCTCTCCCCCCTCCCCCTGCTTCAGCCCCCTCCCCCCTCCCCCTGCACAGCGGCCGCAAACTCACTGATGTGCCTGCAGCCTCTCGGAGTTCCTGCTGCTTTAAACATTAAAATAATTATTTCATTTTCTGTTCCTCACTTCTGATTAGCTTCAATGGTGTATGTTTGTTGCAACCACCAGTTACAAAAACTAACTTGTTTATATTTGACTATTTTTCTGTCCTGCCTCTGTTTATTATCTTCCTGCATCTCCTCTCAGTCCTAAAGAGAACCTGGGTTCATATATATTCACCTTATGAGTTACCTTTCAACTGCAGTTCTAAAAGAGATACCGACCGCAAAAACAGCGGAGTGCTCGCTGCTTGGCAGCCGTATCAGTGATCAGTGCGTCGGAGGACAAGGTGATGCGCGCAGCGCCCCGCTCCACAGCAGCGAAACGCATCAGGCGCAAATAAAAGACAGAAAACATTAAAGGAAATGAACTGACATGAACGATTGCGTGTTAAATTAGTTTTTGAGGTGGCGACACCTGATTGTTACTGTGGCCGTGCTCAGGAGGCAGATCTACCGACCGCTAAAACAGCAGAGTGCTCGCTGCTTGGCAGCCGTATCAGTGATCAGTGTGTCGGAGGACAAGGTGATGCGCGCAGCGCCCCGCTCCACAGCATGCAGCGAAACGCATCAGGCGCAAATAACAGACAGAAAACATTAAAGGAAATGAACCCAAATGAACGATCGCGTGTCAGTACCTACGGTCTGGCACAGCGCGTTGCGCCCCCCGCGCAGGAGCTTGTCACCTGCTGACAGCAGGCTGCTGTCTTTTCCGAGGACTGCATCTTGCCGGTCATTATCACGTGACAGCGACTAGTCGACGACAGGCATAAAATGTCATAGTGAAGTTGAATAGTTCATACAACCTCTGCTACTGCTCCCCAGAGTGTTCTGCAGCATAATCAGCACGTTCTCTTTGAACTTGATAGTGTAATGACCTGGCTGGGGTTGTAAGCCAGGTGCATTCTGGGTATTGGGTTATATGTGTTTCCTATCGTTCTGCTGGTTCCTATGTGTTGATTTGCGTGTTGTGTGAGTGTTATGTAAGCCACATGGAAGGTGATGTGTGTTCTGTGGAGTGGGTTGAATTAGCATGGTTAACTGACACCGTGACTCTGTGTGGTAGGAGCGTGATAGAGGATCGGTGTCTGTAGCGTTACAAAGTGTTGAAGAAAAAGCCTAATAAAGGGCTGTGTGAACCTCTACTGCCTCCTACTGGTTGATTTGGGGACTGTAATGCTGCCGCTGAGACGCTCATACTTGCTTGTTATCACATTCCACCCGGCCACAATAAGAGACCGGCCATTATTCACCTCTGCCGATTCCGGCACCGGCCAAAATTGGAGACCCGGCCTTTAATTGAATACCTGCCTGTATTAGAGGATTTACGGTAATTACATTCGGAGTCTTTAAGTTTTCGGCTGGCAAAAGCTACTGGTTTGAGGCCCTCAGGATATTCCTGGTTCAAGACAACGCCTAGACCATCCATACTGGCATCCACAAGTAAAATGTATGTCTTTGTGGGGTCTGCGAAGGCTAACACTGGGGCTTCGATTAAACATTTACGGATACGTTCAAAAGCACTCTGGCAGACCCTAGTCCACCGATTCCCAAAAGGCTCTGATGGCTTGAAATAAACTTTGTTTGGGTCAACACTGTGTTTTTTCTTGGGATCCTGCCAAGTGGGGGCGTAACCCCTGGTGAGTTCAGAGAGAGGACGGACAATGGCAGAGTAATTTGCAATGACCTCCGGTAGTAACTGCAAAATCCGAGGAATGACTTCAAATGCTTCAGGTGAGTGGGTTCTTTCCAATGTTTGACTACCTCCACTTTTTTCGGATCAGTGGCTATTCCTTGAGCAGAAACAATGTGACCTACATATTTGTCCTTGGGCTGGCAGAACTGACATTTGTCAATAGAAACCTTTAATCCGACCTCCTCTAGTCTGTCCAACACCTTGAATAGACGTTGCTCATGCTCGTCAAGTGTCTTTCCAAAAATGATGATATCGTCCAGGTACACGAGAGCTTCTAGAAAGTGCATATCACCAACAGCTTTCTCCATTAAACGTTGAAATGTGGCTGGTGCTCCTGTGATCCCTTGAGGCACGCGCTCATTTGATAGAATCCGAGCAGACAAATGAACGCGGTCTTGTCTTTGTCTTCCGGAGCCACCTCTATCTGATAGTAACCACTGCGCAAATCTAAGACAGAGAACCATTTGCTGCCTGATAGAGAATCCAAGGCATCATCAATGCGTGGCATCGTGTACTGGTAAGGGGTGGTGCGACTGTTAAGTGTTCGATATTCTTATCATCCCATTCTTTTTGCGGACCACTACGATTGGAGAAGCGTATGAGCTGCGAGACTCTGTGATGATGCCAGCGGCCAGTAGCTGTTGTATGTGTCGCTGCACATCCTCTATGTCTGCCGGAGCCAACCTCCGTTGTTGCAAGTCCGAGCAACCGGTCAAGGCTTAGAAACAGTGGTCAGAGACAAGGGTCACACAAGGGTCAAGAGGACAATAGTTCAGGACTTGCTGGTGAGGACAGAACTAGGCAAAGGGTCAAAAGACAGGCTGGCTTCTGTGGATCCACCCATGGGTCCACCCATGGGCCCGCCCCTAACTCCACCTCTGGCGGGAAAAGAAGGACTGGAATGGAGTGAGGACAGTCCGTCTGGACCCAGAAGTTCTCAGGAATGCTGAAAGAAGATCTACAATTTGCTACCAACATGAAGATTTATGGCCTGTGCTCTCATTCCAGGAGTGCAGCGTGTAACTTTTGTGCCCTCATGTGAATACTGCATGTAGTGAAAATGATACCAAATGTCTTATGTAGAGCTAAAAAAGTGTATTTGGTAAATGACCCCTTGACCTAAACTGTCAGGAGAGAATGACTTGTGACTCTTACATTGTTTAGAGCAGTCTCAGGAATGATATAAAAGGATGCAGCTCAGATCGGGAAGAGATTCGGAGATTCGACAGCAGTTGGGGCAGAGGACAGAGAGGCAGAGCAGATGGGGAGGGGTCATCCCCCGTCCAAACCTGGATGGGGGATGACAGAGAGAGGGACTCTTGGAGAAGACTTGGGAGAGTTTTTGGGGAGATTCTGAGAAGACAAGAGCTGGTGTAAACTAACTCTTATTTAATCATTTTGAACTATTTCCTCCTTGGGGGATAGCAGTTGTTTTTTATTTACCCATTTTTGTATTTTGATTTTGTAATAAACCTTTTTTGAAAAAGAAACATAATCCTGATTCTTTCAGGTTTTCTCTAAAGCCTCACGTTTGGGGCCCGGGCCATAAATTGCACAGAGGTAAGCATATCGATGATCGGTCTCTGAATTATCGGGACTTACTTTACAGTTTATAATAGAATAATATAAAGAAACCTTAAGATAAGGGAAGTTTTAACTCCCCCCTCCTTGTGAGTAACGAGTTGTCTTAAGGGCGATAAAAGCAGAATATTCGAGGTTATTTTGGCTCTGATTGCAGGTTGAAAAAGTCTCTAATCAGCTGGAAAGTTGGATTAATAAATAAATTGATAAACTTATGATAGCCTGATCAACTAGCATAAATCATTTTATAGTTACCAACCTCCCACATAAGCTGTTAGAGGCGCAATTAATTCCGGGTAATCCAAACAATTGCTTAGAGGCTTGGCTTGCCTCCAGACTTCTCTCTAGTATCTTAACCAAAAGGTAACGAGTTTAAAAGAAGTGGAGTACTCTGGGGCTGGCTATTCGTGCAAGTCATTTCACCTTTAAAATAAAAGACAAGATTCTAATTAGATGGTCCAAACCCGGGTCTAGTACAATTATACTCGCCGACATCCCCTCGAACCCTGATGGATGCACCGTCTCATAAGTTCTAACGGAACTGGGTTTTAAAGGAACCGGTAAATGGGACGGGCACGCGACATGGCGCACCAATGTGGGGCTACAGAGCGAAGGTTCAAATATTAGATACCGGACTATTCGACGTAGAACTATGTCTTTTAGGCTTCTAAAAGCTTACGCACCATGGACCGGATAAGCTTATAACCTTGGAGTGAAAACCGCACCAATTTCTCAAAAAGGAAAGAAATTTGGGAGAACGGCCGATTAACTCAAAGAGGTATAAAGAAATCACGGCTTTCCGACGTAAGAATAGCCAAGGATAAAAGCTAGGCAAAAAATAAAAAGGAATAAAGAGTAAGAATAAAGAATAAGACGTGAAAACGAATAAAAATAAAATAAATAATAAAAAAGAGAAACTTTCAACCAGCCATGGCAGATAGATCTTTAACGGTAAAACCGGAAAATGTTCTCTTTAATGTGAGATTTGTCACCGGAGAAATAGCGACATTTCAAGGTGAACCACAAAGCGTTTTGGCAATATCCTGTAACCGAAGCTTTCAGAACGAGGCCGGCACGGCTCAAGCCGCAGCGGAGCGCTGTCCGAATGCTGAAACTCAAGTAAAGAATAATCATGTATTTCCGTTAGTGGGTGATTTAGTGATTCTAGCAGAACAACAAAATGATCCTGTTTTTAATCAGATAGCGTGGTGTTGTTGGGAAAATCCAGCGAAACTCCCCACGGGCGAGCAATATGAGAACCTTCTGGGATTGCTTGAGCAAATACCAACTGGACCGGAACCTTTAGTTCTCACTCCATTTGGAGTCGGGCAGTACCGATGTGATCAGGGAGCGATGTACTCTGCTATGGCGGAGTTCGTGGTTCAACAGACTAATAGTAGAACAATTTACTTCTTATCTAGAAGCAAAAATGAGGCAATTCAAATGAGACAGGCGTTATGTAACCGACTGGGGATCACGGAGCTCCAAGCGGAAATGTATCGGAGAAGAGCTGCGGTCGAAATGTCGGCCTCCTGGGATGAAGTCCAGTTGGTTCCGACCGCGCCCCCTTTGTATCCAGCGCTCCGCGGGGAATTCCCTGTGAGCCCCGGTTCCGAGAGCGGATTTCCTCCACCCCCACCGAACCCGCCTGACGCGGTTCGGCCGGCGCAGTGGAACCCGTTTCTACATGTACAAACCCCTTCTCAGGTGCCCATGAGAGGAGCGGAGAGACCGCCCACTGAACAGCATGTTGCTGCATGGGACAAAGATGAGACTCAGAGACGGTCAGGGGCTGAAAGGACTCCAAACCCAATTCCTTTTCCCCCGTTAGAACCGCATAGTCCCGCGGCTCCTCCGAATCATGTTACGATAGGTCAAGAGCCGGTGATAATTTTGTCGAGCGAGAAAATAGATGCGGAGATCCGAGAGGAAGATGTGTTGATCTTTCTGAAAGATCCACAAAGTTCTGCCAGTACTACGTCCTCTTTAAGTTCTCTGAGGAGACTTTTAGGAGCAGAAAGCAGAAGCTCTATGATCCCGCTGGTAGATCGTAATTACGAAGCTGGAGGGTGTAATCGGACAGCTTCAGTACATTTCCAGCAACGTCCGTGATTTTAGAAACATCATTGATCCCATAATGTCACTTAAAAAAGGTCTCAGAACCAAAGTGGGTCAGAAACTGGTGACGCACAACCGCAAACTGAGCTCACAGGAGCTTGAGACTTATCAAGCAGTGATGGTTAAAATAGGTGCTAATCTAGTGAATCTTTCAAATAGAGAGCATCATGAAGAGTGATTGTAGGACAGGATTTCACAGAATGTTTATTTCAGAACTATGACAGCAAGAGTCTGATAACATGTAAGGGCTATAAGCTCGCACCAACAGAGAGCCGTTACACGCCCAGCGAAAAGGTGCTGACCACCCTGATGAAACATAAAGATATGATGTTCGCTCTGGCCGGATCGCAAAAAATCATAATTCAATCTACTGATTATATGATTAAAGAACTTCGGAAAGATCTCCTCCCACAGGCGAGGGCCGTTTTACCCAGATGGGCAAAGTGGGAGATGTTGTTGGCAAACCCGCAGATTCACGTGGAAGGAGAAACAAAACTTAAGCCTGACAGGAAAGAGGTTGTTAAAGCCATAAAACCAGAGGCAGTTTACTACACTGATGGATCTAAGAAAACAGCAGATGCAGACTTCTGTAAGTGGGGGTTTGTGAGACTGCTAAAGGACAGGAAATATCAACAAGCTGGACAGACTGTCGGATCCGCTCAAACTGCAGAATTGACGGCCGTTGTCATGGCGCTCGCTGACGCGTGTAAGCTGAAGCTCAGATCAGTAAGATTGGTCACAGACTCTAAATACGTTAAAGACGGGCTGGATGATCATTTAGCATTTTGGGAAGCTAAAGATTTCCAGAAAACTGATGGAGAGAGATTGGAACACGCTGACTTGTGGACTTTGGTATCGTGTTATAAGAAAAAATTACAGATTCAGGTGACACATGTAAATAGCTATACAAATGGAAAAAGCGAGGATGAGATCGGAAACGCAGAAGTGGATGAATTAGTACAAGCTCGCGCTTTGTTTCTACCCACAGCGTTTTTACAGAACAGGAGCGCTGCAGCTGATGAAGAGCTGGTGACATTTGCGCATAAAAATTACGGACACGTAGGAGTATTACGTTTGCGTGAGATTTTCAAAAAAGAAAATATTTCTGTACCAAAGCTGAAAGAACTAACAGCACGAGTAAAAGCCACGTGTGAGTCGTGTAAAGTAAAAGGAGGGGCTCAACCCGTGATTTATGACCATTTGCCCATCATGTGTGATGTGCCGGGGGTGCATTTCAGCACGGATGTTGGTGAATGTGCCTCGAGAGGAGTGAACGGACATAAGTTCTTTTTGGTAATCAAAGATAATGGACCAGGTGATCAGAGCAAGATAATACCACTGAAACGTGTCACAGGAAATACGGTCAGCATGGCCTTATCTCTACACCTGCCCCTCACGTGTGAGTCACTCCGTTCAGATGGAGGACCTGAATTTAAGAATGACAAAGTTTCTTGTCTGCTTGAATCAAGGGGGATAAGACACATTTTTTCTATCCCATACGAGTCCCACACTAACGGAATAGCAGAAAGAGCAGTTAGGACGATAAAAAATCACATCCTGACTAACCTGAGCTCCCGATGGGATACACCGGAGGGAGTTTCAGAACTAAATGTGATCCTTAATAGGACGAAACTGAAAAGAGCTGAGAAAAAAACTAACCCGGAACACGTCTCTGTGTTACAGAAAGGTGAAAGAATTTGGGTCAAAAGAGGACCGGTTCGAAAAGGAGATTGCATTAAGCATAACGTAAGTGGTCCCTTTATAATAAAAGACGTAACTGGGAACGTGGTTTTAACTGACACTGGTTTGCGCGTTCACCCTCATCAAGTTATAAAATAACTCTGAAAAATAAAATAAATTAATTAAAAAAAATAAATAAAATGAAATAAAAATTTTTTTTTTATTAATTACTTTATTGAAGGTCATGGCTGGGCCAAAATCTAGTGAAGAAATGACTTGTAAGATCCCAGGTGCTACGGGCCTCATTTTGTTAACGAAGGGGGATTCTGTTA